GAAGAGAGAAGACGAGTGGGAAGGAAGAGGAAAGAGAAGAGACGACAGGGAGGGAGAGAAGAGAGTGAGACGGATGAAGAGGAAATACAGAGGTTAAGAGGAAAGAGAGTGTGTGGGAGATGAGATGGATGATAATATGGAAGAGGGAGAGAGGAGGAGTGAGGGAGAAAGAGAGAAAGGGAAGCTAGGGAGAGAAAGACATGTGGGAAGCAATTGAAAGGTAAAAGAGGGAGAGGAAGAAAGGAGAGAGAGTGGGAGGAATAGAGAAAGAGAATTGTAAGAAAACGTAATAACCGATGGTGAAGAAATATGAAGAATATTTTAAAGAAATGATATAACGAAACGTAAGGGAAAAATGAAGAGGAAGAGGAGGATGAAGAGGAAGAAGAGAATGAAGAGGAAGAAGAGAAGTTTACACTTACAAATACCAACACTGGTAACATGGGACGATACCAGGATGTCTGCCTCATACCAGGTACTAAATTTTAAGTCGATACCGATACCGTCAACACCACTAACCGATACCTACTGATACCGTCAACACCACTAACCGACACCTACTGATACCGTCAACACCACTAACCGACACCTCTGATACTACCCCTCTACAACCAACTAACCGCACCTACTGATACCGTCAACACCACTACCGACACTACTGATACCGTCAACACCACTACCGACACCTACTGATACCGTCAACACCTAACCGACACCTACTGATACGTCAACCACCACTAACGACACCTACTGATACCGTCAACACCACTAACCGACACCTACTGATACCGTCAACACCACTAACCGACACCTACTGATACCGTCAACACCACTAACCGACACCTACTGATACCGTCAACACCACTAACCGACACCTACTGATACCGTCAACACCACTAACCGACCACCCATACTGATACGTCAACACCCCTAACCGACACCTACTGATACCGTCAACACACTAACCGACACCTACTGATTACCGTCAACACCACTAACCGACACCTACTGATACCGTCACACCACATAACGACACCTACTGTACCGTCAACACCACAACCGACACCTACTGATACCGTCAACACCACTAACCGACACCTAGAAGTCACACCATAACCGCACTACTGATACCGTCAACACCACTAACGAACCAGATCGAACACCACAAACGACACCTACTGTTTACCGTCAACACCAAAAACCCGACACCAAACTGATACCGTCAACACACAACCGACACCTACTGATACCGTCAAACCACGTAAACCGACAACTACAGAGTTACGTAAACACCACTAACGAGCTACTGTCGTGGAGAAAGATGGACGACATATGGAACGTAGGAAGGCATGACGAGGGAGAGAGAGAAAGGGAATAGAGAGAAGACCACTCGGAAACAATGATAAGTCCAAACAACGACCCTACGATACGTCAAACCAAGACGACCATGATACCGACACCAAACCGACACCTATGAGTACGAAAACCAACCGAACCTACTGATACCGTCAACACCTATAACCGACCCTGATGAACGTCAACACCACTAACCGAACTATGATACCGTCAACACCATAACGACTACTGATACGTCAACACTAACCGGACACAATATGATACCTCAACCACAACGGAACACTGAACGACACACCACTAGACGACACCTACTGACGTCAACACACTAACCGAACACTGATACCGTCAACCACTAACGACACCTATGATACGTCAACACCATACCAGGCTATGATACGTCAACATCTAAGCGAACCTGATACCGTCAACACCACTAACCGATACCTACCGATACCGTCAACACCACTAACCGATACCTACCGATACCGTCAACACCACTAACCGACACCTACTGATACCGTCATCACCACTGACCGATACCGTCAACACCACTAACCGATACCTACTGATACCGTCATCACCACTAGCCGATACGCAACACCTATAACCGACAACCTACGATATCCATCACACTGACGATACCGTCAACACCACTACCGATACCTACCGATACCGTCAACACCACTAGCCGATGCCTACCTATACCATTAGCACCACTAGCCGATATCCTCTGATACTGATACCATCAACACTAGCCGATACATACCGATACCGTCAGTAACACTAGCCGATACCTACCAAATGCCATCAGCAACACTAGCCGATATCCTCTGATACTGATACCATCAACAACACTAGCCGATACCCACTGGTACCATCAACAACATTACCGATACTCTCCAATACCGATATACTTTAGCACACTTCTAGTAAGTACCACCTGTGCGTGTGTATACCTGTGTCACTACCTGGAAGTACCACTGGTACTTCCAGTGGTATTCTTAGTAGACTAATGGAAAATGTATTAGCTGTAGCTACGACAGTGTTAGTGATGGTTGTAGCTACGACAGTGTTAGTGATGGTTGTAGCTACGACAGTGTTAGTGATGGTTGTAGCTACGACAGTGTTAGTGATGGTTGTAGCTACGACAGTGTTAGTGATGGTTGTAGCTACGACAGTGTTAGTGATGGTTGTAGCTACGACAGTGTTAGTGATGGTTGTAGCTACGACAGTGTTAGTGATGGTTGTAGCTACGACAGTGTTAGTGATGGTTGTAGCTACGACAGTGTTAGTGATGGTTGTAGCTACGACATTGTTAGTGATGGTTGTAGCTACGACATTGTTAGTGATGGTTGTAGCTACGACATTGTTAGTGATGGTTGTAGCTACGACATGTTAGTGATGGTTTGTAGCTACGACATTGTTAGTGATGGTTGTAGCTACGACAGTGTTAGTGATGGTTGTAGCTACGACAGTGTTAGTGATGGTTGTAGCTACGACAGTGTTAGTGATGGTTGTAGCTACGACAGTGTTAGTGATGGTTGTAGCTACGACAGTGTTAGTGATGGTTGTAGCTACGACAGTGTTAGTGATGGTTGTAGCTACAACGGTGTCACTGGTACCTGATAGCTTCAATCGGAATCTCTGGCCTTTTTTCAGCTCAGTGGCTATGCAAACCTAACACTCCATCGAATATGATGGTCTTGCAGGTGTACTGAGTGTGTGCGTGTGTTTTCGTATGTCTGGGTACGTTTATTCGTGTTTAAGAGAGCATATGGCAACGGCACAGTAAATGAATTGAATCAGCTCAAGTATGATTAACCATCAGAGATATGACTTACGTTAGGCATGCGTATGACATATTTTGATCAGTTAACATATGGAAGTCCTAAGCACCTGCTCCAATAAATTTATTAAAGCTCCATGTGCACTCATGCAGATGATGGTATATTGAAGTTTCATGTGCCTATGACAAAATATTTAAAGATCCATGAGGACCTTGGCAGAAATGGTTAATATTGATGAGGGTTTTAAGAGAGATGCGTATCACGAGCAACAGTTAAATTGAATTGAATACAGCTTCATATATTAGACTAGAACCACATAGTATCAGAGCTGAAATTGACTTACGTTTAACATCGTATACATATTGACATTAACATAGGAATCCTAAAAGTGCACCTGGCTCCAAAATATAACTTTATTAAAGCTCCATTGCACCCTCATGGCAGAAGATGAGTTAATTGAATTCCGTGCCTCATGACAAATATATTAAAGATCCATGAGGACCTTGTGGGAAAATGGGTTTGAATATTTAGAGGGTTTTGAAGAGAAGAGTTCGGACCTCACGGGGAATACATTAACGTTTTTGACTAATCCGCTGA